GCTTTTAAGTTGGCAACACTGCTTGTTGCTTGTTTGTTTTCAAATGGTTTGCTGCTGTCTGCTTGGACCTTTCTGAACGTGCAGCAAATGGACTGATCCAATATGGTGGACACACTATCATAAGCGTTCTGATGCATTTTAGTGAAAAGATTTTTATCAAAAACATAAGTAATATGCTGTATTAACCATGTAAACAGAGTTTTGTGGGGCCCCTAGGAACCTGGGGCCCTAGGTAACTAGTATTGCCTAATGATAAATGCCCCCATGTCCAAATTAACTGTTGGTCAAATGTAAAACAAGCAGAAGCATGAGAGTAATGCAGAAATTTGGCTCCATTCGTGCTCCTTGTAAACGCATAGTGTATAATCAATTAAATTAAATTCAGTTGATTTATATAGTGCAATTCACAACACATGTCATCTCAAGGCACTTTACAGTTCACCAGATCATCCACTCAGATTGATTCAAGGTTTTCTATCTACACTGGAAAACAGGCCGATCTCCAATATCTATAAACAAAGGTGTTGATGGCAGCATCACAGCTGATATTTCTCTCCAGGATGGAGTCAGACATTGGAGAGACTTTGTCTAAAAATCACTGAGCTCAACATCTGGAGCAACATCATTCCTTTACATGACAGTTCTGTTTAGCTCAGTCTGCTGGAATCAAAAAGTCCTTTTCAGAAGTCGGTACCTCTATGACCATTAGGAGGGCAGTCCTGAACTTTACAGAGATCAATCCAGACAGCGGCTGAAGTTAGAAACATGAAGAGCCCCTTCAAAGACACCCGAGTGGAAAATATTAGAGGGTTTTTGGAGAAGAGGCTTCTGGGGAGAAGTTTTTGATGACTTGGACAGTTAAACTTGACCCTCAGAGCAGCAGACATCACGTATGCACAGCGCAGCACAGAACTTCACTCAGACCATTGTCCCTCCTGGGCCCCCTTAAGTCATTGACAATCAGCAGAGAACTGATTCCGCTGCAGAGTCTCAGTGAGATGTGGGACTTGGAGAGCAGTGAGACTCAAGCTGTCGTGGAATATGTTAATGAGGCCGGGGCCTGGATGTGACTGCATGTGGCGGTGACAGCGCCAATTAGCACGATGGCTGGAGATGTCTACATGCTCCTTATGAGCGCTACAACAGTAGCCACCATCTTCGCCATGACCAAAAAAATTCATTGTTTTCTGGCTTGCATTATGAAATTTGTTAATGATAAACATTTTTATGCTATGAAAGCCTCTGCTGTAAAGCAAGCAAACATCACAATGGATGCTTGGAAAATTTAACAGCAGGTTTGTCATTTATCACATGACTTTATTGTTTGCATGTTCACTAGACCTCTTCAAAAAAGTAAATGTTTTTATCTTCATTGCAGACTGGACAATTTCTCGATCTTTCAAACCTGAAAATCTCAATAATCACAATCATTTTGTTCTCAGACAATGCTTTTGCCTGCCCCAAAGGCCCTCAAGTTATAATAGTAATATTTCTAGGGGGTAGGCTTTAGAATTTTGCTAATACCACTTAAAGCTAATAAAATTCTCTACTGTATGTAATGTAAAAGTATATATTATAATATACATATTTGTTTTATTTCCATATATTTGTACATTACATACTTAAAAAAATATCCATAAAACAAACTATTTTATTTTTTGTGTTTAAAAATTATTATCAATTAAAAAATTTATAATATAGAAGTTAACTCTGATTAAAATAAAAACTAAAAGTTATTTTCTTTGTTCATATTTTGTACAAAGACATTAGTATTTTCTCTACTCATGTTGTACTCATTAAATGACGTAAATTGCAAATATTGGTGTTACGGTACAAGATTTTATTATAAATTATGATGGCTATTGCGTCCAGTTTGCTATAAAAAATCAAAAATGTTTATTTTTTTAAGAGACCTAATGTTCACGTTTTCTTCTTCACCGGAAAATGTGACCTTTCACGTGAAGCGACCTTTTGAAAGCTGAAACACAGACACTTTCATATAAATAAGCAAACGGTGTGGAGATGAGCTTTCATTTCAGATCTAAGAAAGCCATAAAGAGGAGGACATAAATGTGTCCAAAGTTGACAGCAGGAAATGCTGCTTACCAGATCTGTCCTTAGACCAGCACCACCCGCTTTGAATCGTGTTGATTAATTTTCTGTCCGTTAAGAAATATTAATCAACATAAATGATCATTCTAGATAGTATCAAATTTGTCCTCGATCAAAGGATTCATGGAGAATCTAGAGTTCTGAAAAGTAAAACAGAAAACACAGATGATGTATTAATGATAAAATAGCTGATTCTGGTGTGATTGGAACATTTAGATTTTAGAACATTTAGATTTCTCTTATTTCATATACTGATTTATGCTGTTTACTCACTGAAAATGTTTTTTTTTTACTAAGTCTGTTTCCCCTGCAAGGCCACACAATGCCTAAGTGAGGATTGTTTGTAGACAAGACAAAATTATTCCCATAACAAGCCAGATTCTTTCTGAAGGTTTATTCATTACATGTTACTGTTTAACCAAAGTGTCTATGTTTTTTTTTTTTTTTTACTTTCAATCATTGTAAGTAAGTGGGAACAAGGTGGACCAGATCAGAACAGGGCTGATTACCATGCAGTATGATGAACTGTTCTCTCTTTGCAAGAAAAAATAAAGTGCTGAGTGACATCCATTGATCTTTGTGTATTTAAGTGGAGTGAAAAGTTGAATACTTTTTTTCCACAACACTAGTTAAGACTTTATTTCATCGTTATTCTGATATGGCTTCTTCATACATCCCAGAATAACAGAACTCCTCTTAAATGTGGCCGTCCATGCCAACCCCAATGAGGATGTGTTTTTTTTACCTGATCTATAGTCTTTATAGTGAATATTGTTAGATTTGATTTTGCTTAGAATCAGAGGATGGACAAGAATGACTGTTAACAACCTGATTTCTCTGAATTCATTTGCTAAAAGTAGACAGAATTTCACAGATCATGTGAGCTGCTTCAGTAATAAGACACAAACTGACAGAACCTCCAGTCAATAAATGCAAAGTTAACTACATTTAACATGCATCATGAATATTGAAGTCAGGCCTTCTTATCAAGATCGGAGTTCAGAATTCAACATTTTACCTTTAGGGGGCATTCATGTTTTAAATCTGATTGCTAAAGTCTGGTCAGGTGAGCACAGATAAAACAGGCATGCTCTACTCTTCCAGAGCAGAGGAGGATTCATGAGGATTGCTCAGGTCAAAGGGAAATGCTTTGGCCCCAAAGAAGAGACAAGCTGAGTCAATATGTCTCAAAAAAGAAGATTTTAAAAGGCTTTAAATGAGAATTTGGCATGATGAACAGTTTATCCGCCAACAGTGTTTTTTTTTTTTTTTATAGTTTTTTCTATTTTTTTTAAATAAGCTGAATTATTGAAGTTTGTTTTCAGCCTTTTTCCTCTGATGTATAGTTTTGCTCAAATGAAAGAAATCACACTGCAGATCATTTGACATGGCAACTTTACAGGTATATCTTAGCAAATAAAACATTTTTGAAAAGTACAATAACTCACTCCATCAAGTGTCCAACTACCTTTATTCCAGGGCAATGAAACTTTCCTTTTATGTTTTTTCTTCATATGCTGCACTTTAAATAGTCTTATTACTGAAAAGTGCAAAGAAATACATTATTTGATAACTAGTAATAATAGTACATAATCATTCCTTCTACAGTAGGTCGAAGCTCTGCTGATCATCAGGATGTTTTATATTAAACATGTTTTTTTTGGCCTTTCCTCTCTGATCCTAACTGGAAACAGTAAGTTGTGTTTTTTTTTTTTTCCTGGAGGAGTATCAATGGGAAGGTTGACCGCTTTTCTGCTTCTACTTCCTGTGAATAAATTGATGCGTTCAATTTCATGGGATGCGTCCTCAAAAGGCCAGATTGACAACATCTAAAAGCAGCGAACTTTGCTCTCCAGAGCAAGTAGATTGGTAACCCCGCCTCCTGCTCTCCTCTATTTTGTCTGCTGTAATGATTCATGCAGCAATTATTTCATCCAAATGAAAAATGGAGAACAGATAAGCAGATCATGGCTTGTCTACAGTTAAAAGAAGGACTAGGTTATTTACGCCTTTTTGGAAACACAGGAAGGAGCAATCAGCTAGGTGAGCTTAGTTCTTGGAAAAAAATCTTTAATCCCTTTTGAGACAGCATGAAAAGTCAGCTGAGTACAAAACATATAGAGAAAAACAACAAGAAAAGGGACAAGAGGAGAGGGACATAACCTACAACAAATAATGGATGTCTATTCTATTAACATTTCTCTATCTGTATAATGGGTCTGTCTTATGTTTTGTCTTCTCAATTCAGAGGGCCCCCTGCCTGTATTTGCCTAGGGCCCAACATTTTCTAAATCCGCCCCTAACAGTTGTTAACAGTTAAATGATCTATAACGTTTTTCTTTGGCAAATACCTAAACTTATACATATTATGTCACCAATATTTTACCTTTAAAACGGGCATATATTGAAATCTTTCACTTCTAAGAGAAACCTTCTCATTTTAACATTTTAAATGTTGCTAAATCATAAATATGTACATTTCCGATATGTCTTTAAAAACTGACATTTAAGAAATAACAGATTTGTGTCTTTCCTTTTTTTATTTGCTACCCTTAAATACAGACATATCTGTCATTTATGGTCTGCAATGTCACAGAAAACCAGAGGGGGAACCCCTCTCTACAGAAAAATACAAAAAGTTGTAGAAGACGAAAACCTCAAACTTCTAAAACCAGCCAGGTTTCAGTATTAAGCTGCCAGCTTTGGATCCACGAATAGTCTCAGACTTCTTCAACTGAATGGACCTGGAGACTAAGAGGCAACAAGAGAGGGAAATAAAGTCAGGACTGTTGAGTTTAGCTTCCTGAAGCTCTTTTATTCCCAGGAGGCTTTTCCAGATGATTGATTTTTACATAATTTTAATCCAAAAGGCTTATTGGAAACAGCAGCGATAGATCTGGATGCGCAAGAGTGAGAGGAGAGGAGAGCTCGGCCTCTTTTCTACGGACACTTCGGCGTCGCCCACGCACACGTTTGAGCGCGGAGGAGTGAGACGTTTCCTAAAAGTTGTTTTTCCCATTGCTGCGTGTTTTCAGGCGGTTTGGTGTCCGCTCCTCTGGGTCTGAGGATGCGCTCTCAGATGTACCTTCTGCTGCGTGAGTGGGTCGCAAAGAAGCGGACTGAGGTAAGCGCGCGCTCATTTTCCCTGTAACGCGCACAGGCAGGCAGCAGAGCTGGGAGAGAAGGACGCACAGCTCAGACTCACACAGGCATCTGAGGCTGGCTGCCGGAGCATGGTGCCGGAGAGCCCAGGGCTCCAGTTTAGTCCAAGTTTTTGGATCTCAGCAGGACGCAGGGAGGCAGGTCCGCGGGGACCTGGGAGGACACATGGACATCGGAGGGACACCAGCGCTCTGAGATCAGCCAAGACAGACCCGACCATGCTTTGGATCACCTTTTTACCGTTTTTGTTGCCGTGCTTGGCCGCCAACAGGACGTCGGACCCCGTGCCATTCTTTCACGGACATGTCTTTGAGAACTCGTCTCCGGGCTCGCGGGTCAACGGGCTCAGCGTCCCGCTGAAGCGGTTGAACTCTCTCCGGCTGTGCGGCACCGGGGAGCCCGGCTCACCCGCGCCGCGCTTCAAACTTCTGGGAGATGGAAGCGAGGACTTCCGAGTGTTTGCGCACCACAAGCGGGGAACCGTCCTGCTGAGGACCAGCCAGACTTTGGACCGAGAGGAGCGGGCTGAGTACGCACTGAGCCTTGCCTGCTGCTGCGGACAGGACGCTCCGGATCTGGTGGCGTCCATCAAGGTGGACGTTCTGGACACCAACGACCACCAGCCCGTCTTCCCCAGCGCGGATGTGAAGCTGGACCTGGATGATGCCACTGCGCTGCGCGCGGCCATCTATTCGTTCAGCGCGCAGGACGCAGACAGCGGGAAGAACGCGGAGCTCTACTACTTCACTGTGCCCAAAAACGGAAGTTTTTACGCGGTGCCCAAAACGGGCGACATCCTGCTGGTGGACTCCATCCTGGGTCTGGAACAGCCCATTAAGTTCCAGGTGTTCGCGCGGGACCGCGGCTGGCCGCCGCGCACGAGCCAAAGTGTCTCCGTGGAAATAAACCCACGACAGTGGCCTGTCGCGGACGCGGCCGGTCCCAAACTGAAGCAGCCAGTTCAAGCGCGGAGATCCAGATCGGTCCCGGAACCAGAAACCCCGATTTTCATTAGCGTGTCTGAGGACGCGGGGATCGGCTCGGTCGTGGTGAACCTGAACCCAGTCAGGTTTGGCTCCGCCACCTTCGAGCTGCTGGAGCCGGAGGTGGAGAGCTGCCCGATCAGCGTGAACAGAGACAGCGGGGATGTGGTCATTATGCGGCGGCTGGACCGGGAGACGGAACCGCTGCTGGAGATCACGGTCCGGGTTCAGGACCGGAGAGGTGAGCAGAGGACCGGTTCTGCTGCGGAGCGAGCAGAACCTCTAAATGGGCTTAGATTTGATTTCCTCTGAAATATTTCTGTTTCCAGATTTGAGCCTGTGGAGCTTTTGTAATGATGGATAATAAAATGTGTGGCTGAACTTTTCCACAACTTTTCTCTGTTGGAAAGTGAAAAACAGCTGGAGACGCTCCTTCCTGTTATCTCTGAAGCTTCTGTTCTCTCTGTGGGTTGGAATGTTTTTTAGCCGTCCCGCCCAGATTGTAAATTACAACCTATTAAGGCCAGGCTTGAGATTTATTTTCTTTTTAATATGAGAATAAATGAGATAAAGTCGCAAAGTTATGAGAATAAAGTCATAATATTACAAGAATATTATTGTAACATTACGAGAATAAAGTCATACATTTATAACATAAAGTAATAAAATTACGAGAATAAAGTTTAAAAATGATTTTAATGAAATCGCAACATTACGAGAATAAAGTCGTAATATTAACTTTATTCTCTTAATGTTCTGACTTTATTCTCGTGATTTTATCACTTTAATCTCATAATATTACGACTTTATTCTCAAAAAAAAAGCCCTAATACTCTGTGATAGTAAATCAATCAGCAGATGCAGAGAAGGTGAAAGCTACAGGTTTTAGCCCTGCCAATCAGTGGGTGGCGCACTAACCAGCCCAGAAGGAGAGGAGCTCTATGCTTGTTTTTTGGGCTTAACTACAGGTGCTGGTCATAAAATTAGAATATCATGAAAAAGTAGATTGATTTCAGTAATTCCATTTAAAAAGTGAAACTTGTATATTATATTCATACATTACATACAAACTCATATATTTCAGATGTTTATTTTGTTTAATTTTGATGATTACAAATGACAACAAATGAAAATCTCAAATTCATCATATCAGAAAATTAGAATATTACTGAAGACCAATAAAAACAAAGAATTTATAGAAATGTTGGCCAACTGAAAAGTATGAACATGAAAAGTATGAGCATGTACAGCACTCAGTATTTAGTTGGGCCTCCTTTGGCCTGTATTACTGCAGCAATGCGGCGTGGCATGGAGTCGATCAGTCTGTGGCACTGCTCAGGTGTTATGATAGCCCAGGTTGCTCTAATAGTGGCTTTTAGCTCTTCTGAATTGTTGGGTCTGGTGTATTGCATCTTCTTCTTCACAATACCCCATAGATTTTCTATGGGGTTAAGGTCAGGAGAGTTTGCTGGCCAATTAAGAACAGGGATACCATGGTCCTTCAACCAGGTACTGGTAGCTTTGGCACTGTGTGCAGGTGCCAAGTCCTGTTGGAAAATGAAATCTGCATCTCCAAAAAGTTGGTCAGCTGCAGGAAGCATGAAGTGCTCTAAAACTTCCTGGTATGTGGCTGCGTTGACCCTGGACCTCAGAAAACACAATGGACCAACACCAGCAGATGACATGGCACCCCAAACCATCACTGACTGTGGAAACTTTACACTGGACTTCAAGCAACGTGGATGAAGTGCCTCTCTTCTTTTCCTCCAGACTCTGGGACCTTGATTTCCAAAGGAAATGCAAAATTTACTTTCATCAGAGAACATGACTTTGGACCACTCACCAGCAGTCCAGTCCTGTTTCTCTTTAGCCCAGGCAAGACGCTTCTGACGCTGTCTGTGGTTCAAGAGTGGCTTGACACAAGGAATGCGACAGCAGAAACCCATGTCTTTCATACGTCTGTGTGTGGTGGTTCTTGAAGCACTCACTCCAGCTGCAGTCCACTCTTTGTGAATCTCCCCCACATTTTTGAATGGGTTTTGTTTCACAATCCTCTTCAGGGTGCGGTTATCTCTCTTGCTTGTACACTTTTTTCGACCACATCTTTTCCTTCCCTTCGCCTCTCTATTAATGTGCTTGGACACTGAGCTCTGTGAACAGCCAGCCTCTTTAGCGATGACCTTTTGTGTCTTGCCCTCCTTGTGCAAGGTGTCGATGGTCGTCTTTTGGACAACTGTCAAGTCAGCAGTCTTCCCCATGATTGTGTAGCCTATAGAACTAGACTGAAAGACCATTTAAAGGCTTTTGCAGGTGGTTTGAGTTAATTAGCTGATTAGAGTGTGGCACCAGGGGCCATCAATTTTGAACCTTTTCACAATATTCTAATTTTCTGATATGATGAATTTGAGATTTTCATTTGTTGTCATTTGTAATCATCAAAATTAAACAAAATAAACATCTGAAATATATGAGTTTGTATGTAATGTATGAATATAATATACAAGTTTCACTTTTTAAATGGAATTACTGAAATCAATCTACTTTTTCATGATATTCTAATTTTATGACCAGCACCTGTATTTAGATATTTCGAAACGCTTATTTATGTAGTGCTTGTTTCATACTGTAAAAATAATGAAAAGTTTATGGACATTACAATTTGAAAGGAACAAACATGTAAGATTTAGAGATTCTAAATTTATCTCAAATCATTTGAGTTATGCTTTTAAGGTTTGCTATAATTTAAATTGACATTATTGGGAATCGGAATACTGGATTTCTCTTAGAAGAGGTAAAAATCAGGCTAAATATCTTTAACCTCTGAGTGAAGAAACCTGCTTCTGTCTAAACCTGAAAGGTTTTCATCCTCATTCATGGGGGTAGGAGGGGTTAGCAGTAGAATTAATACTTTATTCTGCTCCCATCTGCTCTGGATTCATTATTTTAGAAAAAAATGAATGCTTTTGATGAGGAAACTGTAGCTATGAGGTCATCTTTCAGAGTTCACTGAAAACTGTTTCTTGTGTCTGAGATGGAAAATATTTTCGTTTTCAGGATCATTTACACCTTTTGCTCGCTGATCCTCGATTTTTTGGCAAAGGTAGAGATCAGGATGGGACTCCAGTTGAATTGGGCACCTTAATGCTGATGCGTGTTTCTGTTTATGTATGACACACAGATAGTGAGGATAACGTAGAGCTGCTGTAAATGGGTGATGGACATGAAGGGTTTGTTTTGTGAGGTCTGCATCAAACTTGAGCTGTGAAATAGAGAAATATGTGATGGAGAACACTCTGTTTAAAGATGAGGGTAAAGTTGGTGATGCTGTTATTCTTAAACATGGGGGGCTCTATTTGTAAATATGGACAATTAGCTAAACGGTTGTTGTGCAGTCAGTCAGCACGCAGCGGCCTTAGTTAGGAAGGCGTGGGAAATTCCACTGATAGTGGCTGAGATTCCAGCTGGTTGGGCGTCGTCCCTAAGTGTGCGCACTAGAGGTTAAACTAAGTGGCATTTATCTGCGTCGGCCATGATGATTCATGTGTGCGGATAAATGAGGGCAGGGTGAATATGTGCCGACAGCAGCAACAGATGCTTGGATGTCAGGGGAGCTGCTGCAGCTTCATTATCACTCACACATCCGCAGTGAGGCAGACGCCGTACCTGAGCCAGTTCACTAACTCTTTAAACGTGGAGGAAGGACACTGAGAAAGCAGAGGCTTCTGTTCACACGTGTCCCAGTGAGAAACGCTTGGCTGGAGTTTAGCCAATGGAGACTACTGGGTTTGGTAATGAGGGTCAACCTTAGTGGGAGAACCGGGCCTGTGCTCAGGGCAGGAACAACAGGATGGTTTCTCCCATTATTACTTCATTGAACTTCTTATAGCTCCAGTAGGACCCTTTGAGAGGAGGCCAGATTGTTTTCTTTTAATTATAAAGAGGCACTCAGTGGAGAGTTTTGAAGTATGCTTTTTCAAGGACGCGTCATTATGGGAAGGTCTCCAGGGTTTGGTAATTTGAACAAGTGCTTCAGAATCTGCTAAATGATGAATTGTGTTGCAGCTGAGGTGTTTTTATAAACTACACACTTCAATAAAAGTGGCACTTTTTTTCTGTTAAACAAATAAATAAATGGAAGTCTGAAAGATAAAGGGTTAGTTTGTTAATTAAACTTTTACTTAATCCAGGTGACAAAACAGTGTTCAGATTTTATTCATTAGGAAATTTGGAGTTCTGTAGATGAGAAAATGAAGAAATGGCTGCGGCTCAGATTCATAATTAAAGACTCCACCTTCTTAGATACAGGGATGGTCCATTTTCTAAGAGTAGTAGCCATTTAAAATTTCCCAACTTTCCTTGATGGGCCCTTGGCTGGTCCCCCAAGATTCCTTTTTAAACATCTATAATATACTTTCTGTCATGATTTATAGACATTAGGATCTAAAGAGAAGCATCATCTCCTGGTCAGACCCTGTAATTCAGTGAAAGGGTCGAGTCAGATTAAAACATATGCAAGAGGGGGTAACTCCGGTTGCTAGAAGTTGGAGGAGATTTCGCTGGTAGCTTGAGGGAAGTACGCTGCTATTCGGTTGGCATTTGACAGGGAAGGGCCATTTTAAATGGCTGCTATTGTTGTTCTAGTGAGGACTCAGGCAGGAGTATTCTGGATCAGCTGTAGCTGTCTGATCCACTTTCTAGGCAGACCAGTAAAAAAAAGCTGCAGGGATCAATGCTACTAGAGATAAACAAAGCAGGAAGTTGGTCTGCAACATTAGACCTTTAATCCTGGAGAAGTTCTCCAGGTGATAGAAGGCCCACTTTGTTCCTGTCTTTATGAGCCACTGAGTTCATCACTACCCCCAGATTTAGAGCCTGATTGCTGCTTTCTAGCTGGATTAGCTGAAGCTGAGTTTGACACATTCTTCCTTTCTTCCAAAAACTATGACTCCAGTTTAGTTTTATTCAGCTGAAGAACATTTTGTTCATCCATGCATTGATTTCCTCTCTGCATTTATCCAGAGCTGGAATGGGTTCATATTAAGGCTGAAACTAACGATTATTTTGCAAATCGATATTGTCGATAACATTATCGATTCGATATTGTCAAATCGATGTTTTCGATTAATCATCGGATATCCAAAGGTTCTTTAAAGAAGACTGTTTATGAAATGAAACCAGATTAAACTAAAACTTTTCGACTTGAGGAGTTCTGCATAGAGCATATTGACAGACGAAAAAGTT